GTTTGTATCCTCACCAGTGGAACTATAGCGGGTTCTATCGGCCTCCTCAAACATTTTAATGATATTAAGAGTCAAAAAATATTCAATCAAGGGTGTCTATTCTCAACCAGTAGAACTACCGAGGGACTGTTCGTAATAATAAAACTATAGGGGGTCTCTTTGCAATTAGGTGATACTACAAGGGGATTGTTTGCAATTAACCCTTTATCAAAATATAGATTTGTTTACAATATGTCAAATATCTCTACCACTACACCAAAAGTCTAAATTTTGGTAAGGGTTGGTGGTTATAATTTATATTCAAACATGCCCTTACAGATTGAGCGTTCTTTTTATATGCCAAAATCTAGACTCATGCGCGTTGCCTAATTTTTTAAAAACTTGCTTTAACTTTGCGGCTGACGAGAATGGAACCTGGGTTGCTTTGATACCATGTCAAAGTTCCCTAACACTATAACAAAACTCCAAAGTTGTGGTGAGTGTTGATGGTCATTATTTTATATTCTAACACTTTGGGTATCTATATTTTTCTTCTAAAAGGAAAATAATTGTGAATGTGTTAATAACTATATTTCTTCTGATGGTTACCCACACTTACATGGAATGGTACACACAACTGTAATACAGAACATAACCCACAAATGATGTGAAAAAAGGTATCAGAAGCTCATCACGGTTACTCTTTTAGGTGACAATTAAAAAGTGGGTCTAGTTTCCAGTTTATAAACGAACATTATGCAGTAGAAAGAGGATGTAAGTCAAATAGGACTTAAGAATAATTGAGGAACCAAACGAGTTGACTTAGGTGGTGCAACCTTTCCTTTAAAGATAGTCTGGATTTGACTCATTTGAATCTTCCATATGTACCAGTGTCAGGGTTTTTGATTAATGTGAATGGGTTAGATTTAGGCATATGGTGGCTTCTTTCTTCCTCATTGATTTGTTTCATAATGTGGGTCTTCCTCGTAGTTGAATAATTTATATTATGATACAGGCTTATGAGATCAGTGTTGTAAATGATTTCAAATTGATTTTGATTTTGAGCTATTTTTATTATCAATGGTTTTTTTCTATATTACTTTTCAAGACTTTTAAAGTTGATTACATCTGATGAGTGGCTGTCTTCCCTTTCTTTTTCCTTTTACAAGGCACATTTCCAGTTCGATCTTGTTTTCCTTTAATTGTTTTGTACAGTATGAACTATGTGGTTTCACCAATCATATTTTCTTCTTTTGCCCAATGGGGCTTGCCCTCTTGAGCTTGGTCCTCGGTTAACTTGAGATAACTGAAATAAAATGATATATGAGTCCCACCCCCACCCCCCATCAACGGAGAAAAAGAAAGATAATGTTTTATTACAAGTTTTAAAGATTTACAAGGATGTTCAAACCAAAATCGGTGCTCAAGGATTTCATGTTTCCATTTTATATTTTGCATGGACAAACAAACAAACGCACACACGCACACGCAAATCTACCCCCTGCCACCACCCAACACGCACTTAGTCTCATGTTGTGTAAAAGTTAAGACACTCTTCATACCAATTTTCATTTATTTCTATTAAACATGTAGATAATATGTATGATTATATTTGTAATCATTTGAGAATTATATGTTAAGAGAGATATTTTGAGATGGTAATGTAGGTTTATGTGTGTGATAGGAAGACTATGGAAATATTGAGCTTACGAAGCCCCACATAAGTATAATCATGTGAATAATGTATTATGTTAGCCCGAACCAAAGTAAAGGGATAAAATCTTTGTAGTTGTGGTGTTAATAATGTATTGATCATCTGTGTGATATTGAAATGTAATCTTATTTCTTATTTATAATCCCAGCTAACTAGTTATTATATAATAATATTTTATGTCTACTGATTTAATTTTAGATGAATGTTAATAATCCCTTTTCTCTATAAATCTTCAATCGAGGCATTGTTCTTCTCAGAGCATAGGCTCATCTTGTTTCCCACATTTGCTGATAATTCTGACCCAAGTCTTAGTTTGAGTTGTACAAGTAAATTATGTTGAGTACTTGTTTCAATTGTTCATTAGTAGTAGATGGAATTAGGCTTAGTATATCTAGTCCTTATCCTATCCTCTCCAATTTCTCCATGCAGGAAAACTTGGGCTATGTCATTGTCAGCCTAGCTGATGTCATAACTAACAAGCGGATAAATGAGAAGTATCATCTTATTGATTCAAGAAATGGTCGAATTCAGATCGAAATGCAGTGGAGGCCTTCTTAGAGTTTTCTAGCACAGCAATTCTGAGGATGAGTTACTATGTCAATACATCAATACGAGCCATGGCTACTAATTGTTGACAAAGGAATGCGAGGGGTTCTTTATTTTTTGTGTATGGTTTCTTGTTAAGTCACATATTGTGATATCTTGTGTTCCGGAAATCTGTTCCGGAAATCTCAGTTTTGCTTTACCATTTTGAATCTTCTGGGTGTAGATCTTACTTTTAGTTGATTTCCATTCAATTTTTGTACCACACAATCTGTTCAGCGATAATAATACTCGTCCCAACACAAATTTTGATCTTGTTGGTATTAAATTCCAAACTATTATTAATTTGTTGTGACAAACTCTCCATGGATGGCTGTTTAGAGGGTTAAACTGGAAATTGTGACTATTTAGTAAGAGTGGTATAAACCATCTTACTTCTATAGGGGTGGTTCAGATCTGACCATGCATTTTGTGGCCATAGCTAGAGTATTCTTTTTTTTTTCTTCCTACCTTACCAAATACTTAAATACACACATACATTCAAATTCTTCAAGTATAATAGTAACAGAAATGCATTGTACATACCCAAATATACAAAGTCAAGTACTTTAAATTCCTCTAAGCTTAACTGGATTTGTTGAGAAGACACATGATTGAGATTACCAGAATACAAAATTTTATCGTGTATATGAACAGAAACAACAACGCAGAGGATCGAAGAGCGAACACCCTTGTTAGTAAGAAGAAGATATCAAACTGTTACAAAGACAAATCACGCAAGAATGGCCTTCAACAAGCTGCTAATGCAAAGTTATACAGAAATTGACTCTGGCAGAATAAAAGAGGGTTAACAAAAAAATTAAATCAAAGTAAAACAAAATAGAACATCTAAAGGATGCAAACTTATCTCTCAATGATTGTAGTCACACCTAAAAGAACTCTGTTGTTGCAGATAGAGAGAATCATTTCTGAGAAATCCAAAATTATCAAGGACATACTATCATTTGAATCTCTACTCTTTGCAATAGAACAGAGTACCGAAAGCACAGTGAAGCCTCTGAAACAAACTCTAGATTTGGTATGAAAGCTCGCCAAACCAGGAACTGTATTAAATACTACCTTCAATCTACATGCTCTCCTCATTCTCTCTCAATTCTGAAACATTATAGGTTATAACTTGAATGAAAAGCCTAAGAGCTCTCTAACTCTAGAATTCTAACACTGTATACAATTCATACATCTAATCATTTTCTAAAAATTATCTTCACTAAGTTAGAAGCTTCAAGTTCAGAGCTTGCCTCGAGCTCGTATGATGACTATACACCTCCTCAAAAGCTTGCTTGCATACACTTGAAAATCCCGTCATTGCCTGAAAAACATTAGGAAATCCTGTCTGAAGGTTATTAATAGTCATCGCCCTCGTCATCCCTGAGCTCTTTTCATACTTTGCTTTCTCCTCCTCGGCCTTCACTTTCAGAAAATCCACCTTTGCCCTCTTCTCCATTACCGGTGAAGTGCTTCTCTGAGTTGAGAAGTCCCCATATGGCCCATGCTTAGATTCTAGAGATCTTAGCTCATTCACCCTCTTATCAAGCTCTCTGAAGGCAGATTCTGACCTTTTCTTCTGCTTCTGCTCCTCGGATTGCTGAAGGACAATGGCATGGATTACTGTCAAGAAACTTTTTATACCCTCAGAAGCGACTTTATCAGGGATGCGATCAAGAGCAAGATACCATTCTTCACAAGTAGAGTAGATGTCGGAGGAGTAGGGCCCATTGGTTTTGGGAAGGGACTCGAGATGGTGATAGGATTGGAAGAGGGAGAGACGGAGCCAACCAGTTAAGGAGTGAATGTAGTCTCTTTGAGATTTGATGAGGTTGCAGAAGGAAGAGTACCATCTGTCGACTTCCAGTTCTAGTTGAAGGGTGGCTTGGCGGTGGATGTCGGAGGTGG